TTGCATTTGCAGCAAAGGGAGTGGGAGCAGTGGGTATTTCATCAGTTGATGACTTGGATGATGAAGAAGTGAGACGAAGATTTACACAGAAAGTCAAAGGAAAAACTTTCTTAGCTCCTCTTACAACCGTTGGGAATTTACCCTTCAGAAGACTGTGTACGCGGCTTGGGGCTGATGTTACAGTGAGACATGCATGCACCAATGCATGCAAAAAATGCATGCAAAAGTTCATGAAATACTGAAAACTGTATTATATCTTATCCTGCATGCGATCATACTTGCTATCGTTCATGTATGTAATCAGCATATAACTATGGGTTGTTATACGGAGAGATAATAGGTAATATGTATTGTATATGTTTTGTATATACATTATAGATTATGTATGATATATATACATATTTCATATATTTTATAGATTCCCTATGCGTTGAACATATATATACTACACATACATGAAATGTGAAATATTTTGCACGTTTCTTGTATATTTTGTTTATGTTTACATATATATGTGTAGTATTATACATGTTTTTATATTTTATGTTTATATTTTATATATTTCTTCTGCTTTCTGTTTGGATTTGTTAGGTTAGTGAAATGGCGGTTGCTCAGTCTTTAGTTGAAGGGAAAGCGTCAGAGCTTTGCTTGTTGCGGTACGTCTTTTTCTTTTTTCATCAATTTTTTTGTTTTAATTTAATTTGTTTTAATTTAATTTAATATTATTGTTTAATATTTGTTTTAATTTCGTTTAATTTTATCGATTAGTTTTTGTTTTCACTGCGTTTCATAAAAACCGTTCAGATTGATCTCATAATTCAACTTCCGTTTCAGTTCAATTTCGTGTTCAAATTCAGTTTTTGTTTTAATTTAATATAATTGTTTAATGTATATTTTAATTTAATTTAATTTATTTGTTTAATACTTTTAGACAAACTTTTGCGGATATCTTTGGTGCTGTCGTTCTTATCAACCTGAAATGCAAAAAAGATGAATTCATATCAGATTGCACTCATTACACAACCCTAAACCCTAAACCCTAAACCCTAACCCTTAAACCCTAAACCCTAACAATATTAATAAAAGCTGCAGTCCGCATACACACCCGAAACCCTAGCCCCTTTCGTGTTCATATCGCTTGCACTGCTCATACCCTAAACCCTAAACCCTAAACCCTAAACCCTTTTGGTGTTTTCC